GCCGAAAGGTAACCTCAGCAATTAGAGCCCCTCGGATCCCTAGCAATGGGTTTTTCGGAAATCTAGCATATGGTAGGTGGCAGTTGGGAAATCTGGAATCTAGGCCCTTGTAAGACCTAAACATCCCTTCTCCCCTGACCCACGCAGAGACTCCAATATGCCTTAATTAAGGAATATACCTTAAATCATATAAGGGATCCTACAATAATTTAAGGAATGCCTCTTAATTAAGGGATGTTGGAGTCTCTGACCCACGAGTCTCCGAGTAGGTGAAGAAGCTCTCGCACTGCAAGGAGATCTCTTTGCTCTGCCCATCGCGCAGCGGAGCCAGGTCGATCTGGGTAACATTGGGGGCCTAAATAATTCGAATAGGGTGTTTGGGGCCCCGTCTACCATAATCATAATAAGGAACCCCCAAAACTAGTATAGGTAATTCTTAAGGCACTATAATCATAATAAGGACCCCCCCAAAATAGTAGAGGTAATTTCTTAAGGCCTCTATATTAAGCCGCTTCGGGGTTTTCGAGGCGTGCCTGGGTTGAAAACGAGATCCACATTTTTTTCTACGAATGTCCTTGGAAGGTGCAAGAAGGGGGTTTTACCACCCAGAGAGCCGAAGACAGCTTCAAGGTGTAGCACTCCACAGTCCAATCTACGGAATCTACGGATTTTGTCTGAACTAGTAAGTCTTGAAACCGAATGCCTCAACACCCAAGGCCCCTCGTTGCAGCAAGAACGCCCCGCAGACCGTTTCCAGGTTCTTGTTGCAGTTCACAGCATCGAGGAGAAGTGATCCAGCCTGCTGTCATGATTTGACGATGGTTTCCTAAACTGTCCATCTGAAAGTTAGATCACACAAGACACAAGAGTACCTAGTATAAACGTCCCTACCCATGAGCTTAGTTGACAGTAAAGATCTCGGGTGTGCGAAGCATAGTTATGGCTTACCTTGACCCTGAACAACATACCTTTCTAGGGTTCCTTACTATGATTTCTTTTAAAAGTTTTTAGAAAATGTAGATTCTTCGGGGTTAAGGTAGGGTTTACGCTCTCGCAACTGGCTTTCAGCTGCTTTGCAGCTCAGCGATCCGACATCGGTTCAGGCTCCTCAGGCGGTTTCAAGATCTTCTATTCCCGGCCTCGGGTCGTAAGCGGCAAGGGCCCTAAACCCTACCTTGACCCCCCAAAAGTAGGTGAAATCAGGGCCCGATACCCATAAAAGGCTACTATTCTTCATACTTTTGGGGGGTCCAGGCAACCTCCAACTTACAACTGACGGTTTAAGCCTGAATTGAACAAAGTCAGGCTTTGACTTAGTGGAGGGTGCTGAAGCCCGAAACTTTGGAGCCCCAGCCGTAACACAAGGTTTCTGAAGGTTTAGGGCTTAGGGGCTTAGGGTTTAAGATTTTGGGTTTTGGGCAATCACAGTCGTTCCATCCAGATCAGGGCGGGAATAGGATTGCGAACCCTCTAGATGACCAGTGAGGTGCCCAAAGCAGGCGCTTTCTGCTCTCTTCTGCTGGCCTCTAGGGGTAAAAAGTTGCCGCGCACATCCAGGACTCCTGAGAAGGGCTTGGGGCCCGGGGGGGTTGGGTTTAATTTCGTCGCTCACACTCGGACAGTCCAGGCGAGGCATGTGGTTCGAGGTCCGTGGAAGTGAAGCATCACTATCGGGGAGAGCCGAGGCAAACAAGGCTACAGGTAGAAATATCAAGACTGCGCATCCCCCTCTTGAAATCCCACAGTGGCTAAGGGCCTACTTTGAAGTTGGGTTTAATTTAGGTTTAGGGTTCAGGCTTCAGTTTAGGGTTTAGGGCTTCTGGCTCTTATAGGGCTTGGGGCTGAGGGTCTCTCAGAGCTTGGAGCCTACAGAGTGAGGGCTCTGGTCTTAGGCCTGTTTGGAGGCGTCTACGCGATCTTAAGACCGTTGCAAAGGCAGTGCACCACCGTAGGGCTGCAGTGGCAACGCACCGCTTCGTTTGTGGAAGCTTTCGGATTGAGAGGAGGGCTGCCCTTCAGCTTGCAAAGCTTGTTAACTTTCCTGTCTTCCGATCACACAGAGACAGACTTTAGATGCTGGGACTGATAACGGCAAGTAAATTGCATGGGCACGGCCAAAAGAATATTGGACACGGAAGCAACAAGACTGTGCCGGTAAACAGTCCGCCTTATTCTCTTCACCTCACGATCCCCAAATCCCTGGACCAAGGTTGCTGGGTGTTCAGCCAGTGAAAGCTCCACGAGTATCAGCCCAATAAAACAAAGCAACCCGAAAAAGCGAGGGCCATGAGCCGGCAACAGACTAAACTCCAAATCCTACCCCCCAACCCCAAACCTTACAGCGCAACCTAAATTTGAAACATTGAAACCCCTTAATCTTAATCTCGCAGTGCAACCTGAATTCTAAAGGTCCTTGTTGCATCCAGCCTGCAAAGCCTCTGCTGGGAAGTAAGTTCTAAAGGTCCTAAACTCCGAATGCTCTGAGGAAGTCTAAGCTGCTCATGGTCGGATGCTGGCGGATGGCATCTAGCAGCTCCCGAAGCCCTCCGACATCCTCCCAAGGATGTGTGTCAACACGGTTTATAGGGTTTATATAGGGGTTTAATTAGGGCTGAGGGTTTAGCTTTTAGGACTTTCTGGTTCTCTTCCGGTGCTCGGCGGTTCCTGCGTTCCTACAGCCCCAACTGACAGCTTCAGTTGAGATTTCATTACGACGACTCCTGACCAAGCGATCGGCGTACAGAAACAGAGGTAACTACCTGGCCCCTCAAGAAACTAACTTTCAGGGCTCCTTAGTATGGTTTGCTTATACAGATCCGTAAACATGGTGGGTATTGGGGGTTCAGGCGCGGATCATTCATGGTCATTCTCTCATTATGTAATCCTATAATAAGCCCTGAGTCCTAAAATCCTAAACCCCAGCTCTGCCCCCTCAAAATAAACCCTATGGATTCCTACAGTCCTTTTCCTGAGCAAATCTCAGGATCCTACATAACTACGTCTTTCTCTGCGACATGCCTTTTTTGCTGTAGGGCTTACATCGGATCGCGGGCTTTTAGCAGGCAAACCTAAGGCGAACAGCGTTGAGGACTGAGGGGTTTCGGGTGTCTCTCTCACACACACTTCCCGCATTTTAGCCGGCCACGGAGCAAAGGAGGTCGCCAAACAACCCCGCTAAGCCAATACTCCGCGAGTGCAGTCAAAGCAAGAAAGACGAACTGTCCTGCTGGTAGGATCCATAGAACCCGGTAGGAGGATTCCTGTGCTGCAGGACATCGAAGACCCATACTATACTCACACCTATGTGTAAATATAAACAAGTAAATACATGCAGAAAGACTTAATCAATCGATGAAACCTATTGATATACAAAAAAACATACATACGTACATACCAATAATTATGTATGCATATATATATATATGCATAGTCCCATGTCCGCTTTTGCAATACGGAGAGGAGTTGTAACTAGCATCAGAACTATAACGTGTCAAAACACGATTTTAGATTGAGCTGTCAACATACAAAACCAGTCGCACATAGCGCCTCCGCACACTGGCGCTGAAAACAAGTCTATGTAAACCTCTCCAAACCCGAAAGGGGCTCTTGCCGTGAATTGTAATGGAAACTACACCTAAACCCTAACTCACCTCACAGCCCAACCTCAAAGTACCGAACCAGACACTCTTCAAGATGAAGGCGTCGAATCCAAGCCCTGAGCAATCCTGCAGCCCATGCGGACAGAGATACTACCTTACCTATAGTCTCCGTTGTAGTTCCTTTTTTTGGTTTAACTATATATGAGTAGGATCCTATAAGGTAACCCCAAAAAGGAACTACAATGGAGACTATAGGTAGACCCCGAACCCTTGACAAACCGAAAGTGGAACGAAACCGCTTCAATGTTGTACGGAAGCGCACCTGAAATCGCTAAAGCCAATGCAAAAACCCAGACCATAAAGTCCCAAAGCCCAAAAGAAAGGCCTTGCAAAGACACTTTTCCCTGAACCTTGAACACAAGGCTCCCGAAACTCTGAAAGCAAGTTCCTTATACGTCCCAACGTCCGACGTGAGGGCGGCGGCATGTTCTCCTTGGCTGCTCCTTGGCAAAGAACGTTGTGCACCTTGGTAGGGCCCCTTTTTCAGGTACCTAGTTTTATGGTTAGGATCTCCTATATAGAAAAGTAGGTACCTTAAAAAAGGGGTAGGGTATGAGCCTTAGGTAAGACACAAGTCCTGGGTTTCGGGGAATACGCTTGGGGCTTTCGGGTCGTGGCATGCAGGCAGTACAGTACGGTTTCGATGCTGGTTTGGGCTTTGAGCTGTACCCCGGAAAGTCTACGGCCAAGCATAAGATCTTAATGCAGATTGTAGGAGCGTGAGTTACTTATCCAGAAAGTGCTCTAGGACCTAAACACTAAACCCTCATCCCTAAGGATAAAGTTCAATGCTTAGGATCTAGCCGGGCTCCAGATGTTACTGCTAGGGGCTCGTTGTAAATGACGGGCTCTTTAGCCTTCTCCGAAAAGCCCCATGCCTATCACTGAGGCAAATCGTCGGAAGTCATAAGCAGGAGCCCCATTACACATGGCTTGAAACTTAAGGAATGTATTCCTTAATCAAGGGGTACACATCGGGCCCTCTCGGCAAACCGGGACAGAAGGTTCAAGTTGGGAAAGCATAAGGGGAAAGGGTTTAAGCTTTACGGCTTTGGGCTAGAAACATGGTTTAAGGCCAGTTTTGACGCTCGCACTCGCACAAGGCAGGCAAGGCGACATAGTCCACCGCATCTTTTTTGGCTTCCAACAGACCCCGTCAAGGAAGACAGAGTAAGGAAAACACACACGTGACACATCATGCAGTTCCATGATCTGAGTGCACCATGAGGTGGGTCATTGCCCTCTGTTTCAAAGCAGCCACTAAGACGCTTCTCAAGCAAGTCAGATCAGCAATTACCCATCAGCACTCACTTCTTGACACAGTTGTTCGGCCACCGATGCTCATCTCAGCATGGCTTGGGCGATTGTAGGTCGCAGCTCTGGACGCGGAGCCTTCTTCGGCGGAGGCTCCATCCGAGCGTACTTGGCGCGCTCCTGCTCATCCTTGCACGGCTTCAGCTCCTCCTCCGTCGGCAGGATCTTATGCACCTTCTCGCAGTGCCTCCGCAGCACGTGCTTGTACGCGAAGGCCTGCCCGCACTGCCTGCAGAGATACTGCTTGAGGTTCATGTGCGCCACCCGGAAATGGAGTCTCATGGCAGGTTTGGTCGTAAATGTCTGAGGACAGCCCTTGTGCTGACAGCGCACCATCACCTGTCTGTGGACTATGGCCTTGTGATGGTTCAGCTGGTCTCGCTTCTTGGCGACGAAGTCGCACTCGTCGCAAGAGTATGTCTTGGGATGCTTCTCTCGTCGGTGACGGACCATGTCCAGAAAGCTGCTGAAAACCTCCTCGCAGCCAGTGCACTTGTAGGACTTGCGTTTGGGCGTTTCAAGGCCTTCTCGAGGATGCTGGGCCAAGATGTGCTTCTCCAAGGACTCGCGGTGCTGAAAGGTCTTACCACAATCCGGGCACTTTCCCGGCTCCACTAAGGAGCCGTCATGGGCCTCATGGGCCCCATGTACAATGGCCCAATGCTGCTGCAGCTTCGCCTTCTTGCGGAAGCGGAGCCCGCAGGCAGTGCAGCTCAGGCCGTTGTGCACACGCCCGATGTGCGACATCAGCGACTGCTTCGTGGTAAAGGTCCTGTTGCAAGACTTCACCGTACATCGGAAGGGCTTCACTTCGAGGTGAACAGCCTCGTGGTCTTCCAAGTCTTCTTTCCTCTTGTAGGCTTTGTTGCAACCGGGATGGCCACACTTGAAGCTCTTCGCCGCAGTGTGAAACTTCACATGCTTGTGATACCTTGTGCTCGAGGGAAACGTTTTGGAGCAGTGAGGGCATTCCCGCGGATACACGATCCGAACCTTCTCCTCCCTCTCGTCCCGTCTCGACCCTCGCGCTTTTGGTGCCCTCCGCTCGACGGGAGGCGGTGGCGGTGGATCCACCTCGGGATGCTGCGCGTCCATGGCCACCACGCCGCACAGCCCGGAGGGATCCCGAGCCGGGCATTAGAGCAAACTGGCCTGAGGGTTTGGGGTTTTAACTAGGGGTTTAGGCATGTCTGGTGTTTAGGGGTCTAGGCTTCAGGGATTAGGGGCTTAGGGCTTAGGGTGAGTAAGGGTTGCAGGTTGAGTGCTTCAAGCATGTCCTGCAGACTCTACGACATAGGGCTGAGCGGCGTGGCAAAAACAATAGCATGTGGAAGGACCACGACTGTATGTAAACACTTATCACAAGACCCTAGCCCATACCAGGCCAATCACTATCATAAACCCTCACACCCCAACGGATTATCTAGCCCCAAACTTGTACATCATGAAGAGCAGTAAAACAACCAAATGCTAGTGCATACAATAGAAATGAAACGCCTGTTCGTATTCAGCAAACAGCTAGCGCTTAACTATGCGGTTCATTACAATTCCCGTGTTGATTGCCTTGGAACCTTTTTGCGACCCCAAAACTCCCAGTTGACCAACGGAAACAGTTGAACCGGAGACACGCTTCCTAAACCCTGCACCCTATAAACTTTAAACCTTACCCGCTTTCAAGCCCTCTTGAAACCGGACTTGATGACTGCCAGCACTGGCTTCCCCGCTGTTCTTCAGCCGAGGCCCGAAATCTTCAACACAGCATCCCCTAAACCCTAAACCCTAGGCCCTAAGCCCTAAACCTTGCCAGGGTACCAGCTCGATCTCTTCCAGCGGTGAGCTGGTCTTCCGCAGGAAGGCGGCTAAGGCCCTTGCGGCATCTGGCGCTTCTTGCGGTGGATGATTAGCCTAGACCCTCCATCTACCCTCTATTAGACCCTAAATGCCCCTTATTTGGGACCATATACCCCTGTTTGAGGGTACAAGGAGGGTCCTGGAGGTGATTTGAAGGCTGGGTTCAAAGGCTCCCCTTTACACCCTATACGGGAGTTTCTGAAAATCAAGGGGTACCCTATTCTGGGGTCCTTATCATAAGGATCCTACTATTCAAGGTACTATAGTAGGGTCCCCTACTTTCGGAAACCTCCCCCCAATTAGAAAGTCGGATTTTAAGGCTGGGTTCAACGGTTTAGACTTGGGGTTCGGGGCTTCGGCCATTTTGCCTCCCACCTGGCAGGGCCGGGGCCGGCAGGGGCTTAAGTTTCTGGTTGCGGATCTGGGTTTCTAGGGTTCAGGCATTCCGACTTGCTTGTTAAGCTCTCGTCGCTTTGGGGGCCTGCGCCAGCACTGTGCACCAGCCAACATCAAGAGGTGCTACCGGCAGCACTGTTGCAATGTCTTCTGCATGGCTCTCCACACTACTTTTTTCGTTGCTCAGGCCTTCTCAGCAACATCACTGGAGCTACCCATTCTAACCTTCTAGAGCTTAAGTTAAGCAGAACCCGCGTGCCCTGAATCCTGAAGCCTAAACCCTAATTTCCCCAATACCGAAGTCCTAAACCCTACCTGAGTCCCGGACAGACAACCTTCCGGGCCGATATAGTTCTTGTTCAGTCGCAGTGTCCGCAGCGATGCCACCTGCCTCGGCCCGGTATTTCTTGTTGAGCTCCCTTTTACGACTGCAGGCTGTCCTACTATCGCCAGCCGATTTGGCCACGAGTACAGGGCCCCGTGCGGCCACTGAGTCACGAACATTACGGGTTTCTTATAAAGGGCTCCTGCATGGGTAGCTATGAAGGTTACTATGAGGTCTTGTGTATGGTCTAGGATCATCACGCTGCACTTTACGATGTGTTCAATTTAAGGGAGCCCGAAAGCCCGGCTCTGCAAGGCTGTGTGTTCTGATGACCCTACACTTCGAACTGCGAAAGCACAACTTAATCAACTTTGGGCTATGCCTGTGCTATCTACCCAGCGACGAAAAGGAACCATCGTGAACGCAGGATGCAAGCAGGCGGCCAAGAGGCTCTAAAAGCATAACGCCTCAAATACGCATCTTGTGAATCCCGAAGCCCTACAGAGAAGGAAAGGTTTGAAGTAAACTCTGAGTTCTAATCGCCCTGCGCCTCAGGCCTGCATTGCCACTCCTGCACTTTCGCCTCTAAAGTCGAAACTTGTGCCAGCCACGCGAATCCTGCTACTCTGCGCTTTAGGGTTTAGGGTTTTGGGGTTTAAACTGTGATGCCTACTTCCCACAATGCACATCCCACATCGTGAAAGGCAGCAACCTAGACGCCACTTAACCAACAACTCAACCCACATAATTTCGTGCCATGCTTCAGCGTTCGCATGGTGGAAATACCTGGGCTCTGCCGCATGAGCAACGTACAACGTAAACCCACACCAGAAGCCCTAAACTCCGATAAGATCGTATTTCGTCCTATATGTCAACTATGTCATAGCTGAGCTCGTAACCTGACGGAAGCAGAACAAGCTCGCTTGGGCAAGCCCGACATGACAAGCTGTTTGGCAATGGCACGGTATAAGAGACAAATTTCTTGACAAATGAGAAGCCGCGGACAAACCGGTGAAGGTCCAGGTTCTAGCAACAGCTAAAGCAGCATTATTCCAAATATTCGGCCTCTGAGGTAAACCAATCTAAGAATCTGCCTATTTCGGTCATTGAAATTCAGGGGTCCCGGTTGGGATGTCCCTATGTCCTTCAGATGTTCTGGATTTTTAGTCCGGATCCTGTCCATCAGCCTAAACCCTAGACCTTAAACCCCTAAACCCCGAGACCCCGGAACCCTAATCAGGATCCTGTCCATCCTCACAGATCATCATATTAGGTATCCTACTATATTCCTAATAATTCCGGAGCCCTCATAGATCCGCTTAAAAAGGGACCCTTAGGTGTTCATCCAGCTGCCGCTGGAGGAGAGGCCGCCACCGAGGAAAAGGTTTTGCAAAGACCGGCTGCCGCGCAGCATCGACAGGACCTGGAGAGGGCTTTGGGGTTTAGGGGGTTAAGGCATTTAGGGTTCAGGGGTTTAGGAGTTCAGGGCTAGGCGCTTTAGGGATACGGGTTTAGGGGCATCGACAAGGCCTGGGTAAGGCTACCCTGAGCCTTGAAATTGCAGTAATCCTTGTGTCATAGCCCCCTTTATGCTCACAAGGCACTCTCAGCTCCCGAACACGCTCTGGACCCTACAGTCATTCACCATTAACAATACCAACCCGTTCCTCAGAAAAATAACATCGCAATGCCAGAGTCTTCTGTAGCAGGCCCCGAACATGCCAAAAGCCGTCCAGGTGCCGTGAGGATGTTCGTGTCCGTCACCCCCAGCGGGTAGTCCACGGTGGAGCTTGGCGTCGCTACCGGCCTTGAAGTGGATGCGGCGGCAGTCCGTCGATCCTTATTCGAGGCTCCGGCAACATGACATTATGTATATATTTCTTGTGTACATATCTAGGTATAGTAGCCTTAAGCATGATAACCACAAAATTGGAGGACATCAAGTAAAAGCGATGAGCAATGTTCGTATCGGCAACATGCTAATGCGTTTACGGCGCGAGGCTGGCGTCTGTACAAAGCGTCTCACATGCGATCCCCATGAACGACGCTTGCGTCCGAACAATAAATCCAAACCGAGTTCGGGTTCAGGGATTAGCCTTCGAAATACTATAGGGGCCTTAATGATTAGAACGGGTTGGGCGGCATTATACTATACTTATAACAAGGAAGCCCCAAAACGTACCAGGTCCGACAAGATCTCTGCAATATTCTGAAAAGCCCATGTGCGACCTTGACACTGGCCCCCAGGCCTCCTCCATACTGGCCTCCAGAAGGCGGGGGAGGTTGGAGTTTAGGGCTTAGAGAGGGTTTAGGTTTGGGGTTTAGAAGAGGTTTTTTTTGAGCGCCCTTTTTTCGACAGCAGATTCGCTTGCTCATCGGAAATCCCCCTGGGGAGGGCAGGTGTGGTCGCGTTTAGAGTGCGGGTTTAGGGTTTAGGGTTTAGAGAGGGCATGTGGCTCGCTCGGGCTCGGGCTTGAAGGATTAGGGATACGGACTAGGGCGGTTGGGGGGCAAGTCTTCATGTCATGTTAAGGCATCGCACTGTACTACATAATAAGGCATCTTGTAACCGGCCTCTGAGAAAGACTCGTCCGAGATGCAGTGGGACTCGGATTCAGCGTCTGAGCTGGCCGCTTCCTGAATGCCACTAGGGCTCTGCTTTTCTTGTTCTAAGAAGCCTTTAGCAGATTTCACGGCGCTTTTGGAGCTCACAAAGAGGGGATCAAGCATTCGGAATACGGGCTTCGGGTTTACGGCCCAGGCGGCTGCAACACCCGATTTCAGGCCGTCTGCAACAAACAATGCCAATTATACACTCCATCCCATAAAATCTACTGACTCTTCCTCAACTTCAACATTGTAGAAGGGCCCCAAATCCTATCTGAATCCTAAACCCCCAACCAAACGTCCTAGCTCCCCTAAAAACCCCCCAGCCCGCCATAAACACAAATCCAGCAGTTCGTAGGATCGTAAGTAGATTCGTAAGTAGAACCCCTAACTCAGGTTTAGGGTTTAGTAACTCCCATATCCCCAAACCCCAACCGCAAAGTAGCACCTGAACCGTCAACCCTAGACCACCCCCAAAACGATCGTAGACCCAAATTCGGCCTAATCGAACTTGCCAAGAGTCGGTGCGGCCTTCGCCAGTCGTTTCGGGAACCGTGTTGTACCTTCGGCCCGAAAGCACAATCTCCAAAGGGTTTTGGGGTTTCAGGGTTCAGCGAACCCTAAACTCCTAAACCCTAAACAATTAATGGTAGAGACTAAAGGTCAAGGGCTTGTGGTGCTAATGACTTTGTGGAAGGCTTGCGTGTCGATACTCTCCGGCGATCGTGCTCTGCTGTGCGATGTCCTAGAGGGGAGGAGTTTGAGACCAGGATTCAACCCCTTTGCGGCCTTTCGGGTCGTGGAAAACAAAGCGCAGGTGACATAGGAGCCGTGACAATTAGACTCGGGATCCAGCACACTCAACCATTAGACTGTTATTGGCAACTATTGTACTAAAGCTTCAGGGAATTGAGTT